GTATGTATGTTATTTAAAGTATGTTGAAGACAGTGAACCCCTAAGGGTTTAGATCTAATACCAATATATTTTTTAGCAGTTTATTGTACCGAACACCCATGCACTTTATAAAATTTTATATAAGAAAATGTACGCTGAGCTATAACTTTTGGTAAACTTGAACATATTTTAGATTTTAGTCCATTTATTGCCTTTGTAACTGTGTTAAGTATGTTGTGTAAAAAATAATGTAATATATAGTTTCGAATTCCATGTAGAGTGTTTTGAAATTCAGCATAATTTTCAAATTTTGCCTAAAATTCCATATTTTGATAATTTAAAATTGTCATATAATTTCCTGATTTGTTTTATCATTAATTTAAGTCGTAAGCACCAACAAAATAACATAAAATTGCAATTGGCATGGCATTTTAGAAAACTTATGCAGATATCTTAGTAAAATGTTAACATGTTCAAGAGTATTGGCTAACGAGAAAAATATATTGAATAACGTTGCTTAAGAATAGAATAAATAATTTTAAAAACTGTACAAAAGAAACAAGGTTGAGATTTTAAATAAAAGAAAATTAATTTTGTTACATTCAAGCATTTTCTTTTCGGTTGATTTGTTTAAGCAACGAATTCATTTTCACATTGAACAGCTTTGCAAACAGCAAAGTATATCGAATCTATTTTGTGTGTGACATAAATACTTATATCGTTTGGGGGTGTAGCTCAGTGGTAGAGCGTTCGCTTTGCATGTGAAAGGCCCTGGGTTCGATCCCGAGCACCTCCAGGTTTTTTTTTTCAGCAACAGTTTTGTTCACTAAAAGTAATTTATAAATTTAATACCGTACAACTTATTTCTGTATTAAATGTTTAACATATTGCTATTGAAACGATTTTTTTTTTATTTTAATTATTTACGAGTTATATTAGTAGTCTCTGAAAAGTAAGATACTAGAACAAAGTTCCTGGGTTCGAAGACCCTGGGCCCAGGACCTCCATTTTTTTCTGTTTATTTTCATACTTAAATTCCTCATTTATTGTAAATTTGAAGAAATCTGACAAACAATTATATTCAAGAGCAGTATTCGGCTTACGTACATTTATTTTTGAAATAATTATGCAAATTTGTATTTGGTGAAACAGTTTTTTTTTTTTTGTAAAATTATTTTTAATGAATGGAATTACCTTTGTACGATAAAAAAGGCCGCTTTATTCGGTGACATTTTATTTTGCGAATGTTTTTTTTTAAAGAAGTTTCATTTGTGAGTGAGGGTTTATCAACGTCACACTATAAAAAAAACACGAGAGCTATCGGAGACGGATTTTATAATTTTGAATCTCGGTTCAAGAGACGAGGATGGAAAATCTGAGCTATCACTCCACTCTCCAAAATCCATACCAATCTAAGATGAAGACTCTGAACCTCCTCAAAATAAATGTTTATTAGCCCTGTAACTGTAACAAATGTTTCGAGTTACCAGGACTCCAATCTATGACTCGACAAATAACTCCATCTACGAGTTCGTGACTATGACCATTCTGCTGCAATGCATCTGTGATCTTGAGAGGAAAAAAGGAATGGAATGAAAAAGTTGGAAACAGAGAAAAATATTACTAGAGAATCCTGGAAGTCCTTTGTTTATCAATGATAGTAGATAAGCTTCATGGAGGAGGAATGAGGTTGTAAGCCCTTTACTAAAGAAGTACAATGTAGAGACATGTCACGGAAATTAGCATGTTGTCAAAGTTTTGAACATTAGTAACGAAGTGAAAAAAAAATACCTCTATAAAATGTTCTATCTATCTTTCCATTAAATGCTTTTATTTGGGTTAAAAATTTTAAAAAATAAAGTTTTTAATTTATTTGTTGAATGAATTTCTATTCGATATCCCTTAATTAAAAAATTTTAATATAACCAATTATTTGAAGGAGCTGTGTGGAATTTTCTACTGAATTTTTTTTTCATGTTTCTTTGGCTTTAAACGGTTTGATTCTCAGTTATTCTGTAATTGTTTATGTGAGCTTAAGGTCACATTTGATTTTCACAACTGGTTAATGGCGACAATTTTCGAACTATAAAAATACAAACGACTGATGAAAGCAGTATTCGAGGAAACATGTGTTTTTCCAAATTTATACAGCCCATTCAATGTGTCGAAGCTCAAAATTCTGGCGCTGGCTAGACGTCGAAGCTTGGAGAAGGGTGTATCGGCTTAAATGTCGTCCTCATGTTTCGATCATTCATTGATTATGAATACCAAGTCCGTTGCCAATTACCTCATGTTTGCTTGCAAGTGACATTATTAAGCAATCATTCTAAATTTCTTCGCAACGTCATTTGAGGATTTTAAAGGGAAAATTCAATTTGATTGGAATCATCGGCAGAATACAAAAAAAAAAACAAAAAAAAAGAATAAAAATTTGTGGCTAGAAAATAATTTCATAAATAAAATATTCAAATGGGTTTTAGGCTAACTGGGCCCGAACCCATTACCTCACCCTCGATGGAGGACTCCCTTCGTTCTTATGACTCTGCCTTAATGATCCCGATAATATTAATGGTCAAATATTATTCCAGTACGTATTCTCCGAAAAAAAAATAGGGAATTTCAATCTGCATTTCAATTGGCAAAAGTGGTAAGACTGCATTATTATCTGATGACCATTGTCGATGTCTAGGCCTAGTAACATAAACAATCATTCAATTCCTTTAGTTGAAATACGGCCATCGGTCAAGCCGGTTTGTGCCTATTTTTGTGAAATTCTGAGACGAGCACATTTATTTGTTTCAAACTACCGGTTTGTATGAGTTTGACAATGCATGCTATATACTGTTTTTAAAAATTGCAGACAAGGCCTATAATTTTGCATAAAGCCTAGAGCCTCAGACAATCTTCTCTAGTCCCAGGCCTTCAAAAAGTCTTCAGACCTACTTGGTTACGATTGAATTGTTAATCCAGGAGAAAATGTCTAGAAATGGATGAATATAATTTTTAAAAATGCCTTTTTAATGGATGAATATCAATGAATTTTTGTGTATTTAAAATTATTTACCATATTAATTTTTCATTTAAATTTCACCAAAGCATTTGATTATGTTCTAAAAGGAAATTTAAGTTTTGAGAAATTTTCATACATTTCTCTTACTTTTCGTTCGTGTGTCACGTAACTGAATCATGCACATTAATTATTCATGACATCCAAACAAGAAGTATACTGTTATATTTGATTTAATATGCTACTCGAACATGCGGGGGTGTAGCTCAGTGGTAGAGCGTTCGCTTTGCATGTGAAAGGCCCTGGGTTCGATCCCCAGCACTTCCATTTTTTCCCTATCTTAATTTTTCTAATTAAAAATATTTTTTCCCTCTCAATTGGAGTAAAGTTGATAGTTCAAGATTTCATTCATATCTCTTTTCTTCCTCTGTGACTCATTTTGTAAAGTTTCCCCTCTATTTTGGATTGTTCAAGTGAGTATCTTCAATATCTTCCCAATGGTTTGGTGCGGCAGTGTCAGGAGAGGGGTACCATAACTTGAGTACGGTCCTCATCACTTGACCAAAGCGACTTTTATATAATTTCCACTTTGTCTCACTCTCACGAATTATCCAATTCCGTTTTGTTGAGGTTTATGTAAATTTTTTTTAATAAAACTATCGCGCAAATTTATTTTGACGAAACAATTTTTTCAAAATTGTTTTCAATAAATTGAATTTATTCTTGCTTAATTTAAATAACCGTTTTCTTCATTGATATTTTATTTTGTGAACAATACGTTTTTCTTAAAGAATTCCTTTTCATCCATGCGTGAATTGGTTTTTAATTGAGCAAACGTACTTTTACAAGTGACGAATCTTGTAATTTGGAGAGCAGTGAAGAGAGGAAGACCAAACTTATGCTGTGGACGCCCATTCTCCAAACTTCCACGCTACGTCAATGTGACAATTTTGAGCCTCAAGTGATTTAACGCGTAACATCCCATCCACACGGTATATCTTTTGTGGTATTGAGACTCAAACACATGACTCCAAAGAAATTAAGCCGGCCACGAGTTCTTGACCATGACTTGTCGATCACCGCAGCCACTTCAAGGAAACCGTCATGTGTAGTTCGTTGGTATCCTTTATTCTCACAGGATAACATGCAATGGGGGCTGACAAATTTCTGATTGATAGTTCACGGTTGGCTTGCTCCACTCCTATGAGTTGTTGGGGGCTACTTGCGCAAAAAATTTGAAGAACGAATGTATATGCTATCTTGTATAAAAATGGGCACCAAAATGAAATTGTGAAAGAAATTTATTGAAGGTTTTAATGTAGAAGTAACGTTATTGAATTTGTGTGAGTCAGGAAAGACGAATTTGGCTGTATTGTATTTCTAATAGTAGAAATAAAATTTTAAATTGAAAATAAAGGAACAAATTTGTTCTTAAAAATGAATTATTGAAATTATCGAAAGAATTAGAGATTTCTCTAGTCATTTAAGATTTATTTTCGAATTATTGTGTAAGAATTTTAAAGCTACTTCTACAACTTGCTAAAAAATTATTGTTACACTGTACATTAATTTACTATTCTTTGTATTAGTTTATTAAAAACATAGAAATGTAATACATTAAAAATCCTTGATTCCCAATCTATTGACATTTTTTTCATTGACCTTAGTTTTCTTCTAGTATACATAAAATTCAATTTTTAACCTCTTTTAGAAACATTTTTCAAATATCTTATTACACATACTGTAGCAAGTAATGTAGATCCTTTTTTAAATCACTGACGCAATTTTGATGACTGAATAATAAAACCATTTTGGCAAAGCATGATAAATAATTCATAAATTGTAATGCGGAAAAATACACGATTCTCGTTAATTTCGAGATTAAAACGACATTGGATATGTTTACTCACCTTTCATAGCATAAATAAGGGTTACGCATACTCAGTGTGATCGATTCCATATCATATATATTTCACAAATGTACTGTATAATAATTGTTTTTTTATTTTGAAATGAAACTTAGATCGTCGGTGGTAGAGCGTTCGCTTTGCATGTGAAAGGCCCTGGGTTCGATCCCCAGCACCTCCAGCTTTTTTTGCAGGATAATTGTCTGTTTAAATCGAAATTTAATTACGTAAACATGCGGACCTTTTAATTATTTTTTCCAGTTTTCTTGAACATATCAATCTTCTTTTTAACATTACTTTCCTATTGAATTTTTTGTATCCAATTCCAAGGCAGAGCTATGATCATTAAAAGATGTAATAGTTATTCAAAATGCATTTTAGTGTACTTTAGAAATGCTTCTTGGTTTAAAAATAGAGTGCAAGATTATATACATTTTTAGGGCTATATTAATAGATGATAAATGACATGATATGGCTTTAGATTGACAGAAACTTATTTGAGTTAAGGTACTCATTTTTCTTTTTCAAATTGAATAATAAATATATATATATATATGTTGATATGTTGTGATTTATACGCATTAGAATTTATAAAAGTGTTTGATTACAATTATAACTAAAATATACATTGAAATTTTTGAATAAATTCCAGGATCACAGAGGGAATTAAGCATAAAAATAACTCTCTTAGAAAATTAATTCAATTTCAGCTTAATATATCGTTTAAATTCATTTTTGGTATTGAATTAACTAATTTGGTATTGTTATTAACTAAAATATCATATTAATGGTTAAATTTGTTTGTTCATACATTAAAAGAGGTTACAAATATTAAAAGTACCGTTTAAAGCTAATTTCACATTATAAAAGTGAAAAGTTTTTATGTAATATTATTATCATGGTATATTTCAAGTTTATTTCACATTTGTGTTATATGTTTTCCCAGTATTGTTTGAATTGGTTTTTTGAGTAGTGTATGAAATCAGTTAAAGCTTACCATAAAGAACTTTAAAAAGCGGTTTCAAAGGAAACAATTTTTTCAAATAAAACTATTGAGTTCTGAATCGTGAAAAGTATAATTTAATATGTAATCTCTCTTTAGGATAAAAAAATTTAATAAATTACTTACATTGTGTAAAATAATTCGAGTTCTTAAAACAACACTTTAAATCTCTCAATTGATAAATAATTGGGTTTAACTTGAAATTAGAATGAAGTTGTGTAAACCTCAAATTGTTTAAATTAAAGTTTGAAAACTATAAAAAAAATACTCAAATCTTTTCACAGTAGATAATTACCACTTAAATCTTTCAAATTTGTTTATATAATTGAACACAGAATTTAATCCATCTCATTCAAAAAGTAAAATAAAATAAAAACAATATAATGATTAAGAAAATTAGGGGAAAAGTTATAATTCTGGGTAAATTATACAAGGCAGAATAAATATCAAATAATTTAAAAGAAACAAAAGGTCAAATGAATTACTACCGGATGTAAAAATGACAAAATAGATAAAGAAAATCATGGTCTATGTGTGATACCGACTGTAAATGAGAAAAAGAAAGTAGACTAAACATGTATAACACAGTGGTTCAGTCACTCTTCATAAGTCGAATGAAATGAAAACATGTTTTAAAGTATAATCAATTTTTCTATAAACAATATGAAAAATTTCATTTTTTATATCCATGAAGCAAATTAATTTTAATCAACTGTGAAAAACCTAAATTGAGTTTGTTGATTTTTTAAAAAAAAATATTGCTGACATTTTACAATTTTTTTTAAACAGAGACTTAAAAGTGCGTGATATTAATATTGACGTAAAGGGGAAAACTGCGAAAAATAGAGAGTGTGATCCGATTATTTATTTTTTTAAAGAAAACAGCAAGAAAAGTTTATCGCGGTGTAATCTTTACGTTAAAACATCTATAATACGTCTTTTCCTTAACATATGGAAGTTAAATGTAGGTTAAAATATACATAGGATGATTGCCAAATTTGGTGATTTTTTGATGATCTATCTTGTTTTATAAATTATCCTATTCTGGTTAAATTTTTTATAATTCTTACAATTTTTTTTTTGGTAGTTTGGTGACCTAATTTAAAAATTGTTCAAATTCCTTACCTGCACCCTATGTTATAAAACGAAATATATTTTTAATAGTATTAACTTTCTTTCCTCAAAAAACTACCCTTTTTTTTACATCTTTGTATATAGTGTCATCACTTTACATATACAACCCTTTTTATGTATCGCTTATAGAAGTTTCTTTTTTCATAATTTCCCCTTTTTTCCTGCTTGTAGAATTAAGTTTACTATATATAATCAGAGGTTTATTTTGATTTTTTTTCTATTTGTGACGGATCTAGACGCGTCTTCCCACTAATTCTCTTGGTAATTTTTTTGGGCCAGCATTTTTATATATATATAACCTATCTTCTCCTAAAAGAAGCAAACGTGATGCGCAAATTAAGTTTAATATATATGTATTCCTTCTTCGTGATTCTGAAAGTTAGTGAATTGTAAGTTGAAGAGAAGTGAAGTGTATACGTAAACAAAAAATAAGGAAGACAGAAGTGAAGATAACAAGAAAATGGTAAGATTAGCTAACCAGTAATGTTAAAGTCAACTTGAATGAAATAGAAGACTGCATGAGTTCAGGTACTGTGATCTTAAATTAAGTTGATGGTTAGGCTGTTAAACTAATAGTGCGGATATTAAATACGTAAGATCTGTGTAAAGTAATATTAAAAGTAGTGCTGCATTATTGAATATATTCTCCCCCAATCGCGAATCTCGTCTCTCTTTCGCTCTATTACTGAAATAAGTTATCTTATTTATAGTGTTATTTGTGTTTGAGTTGTTTCTCGTGATAAATAAAATAATTGGAATTGATCATTGTCGTGTGATCCTTTAGTTCCTTCCACACCTTTAGCTGGCCACAGGGTAGAAGGGATATAAACGCGTTTCATATTAACCTCGCACTTTGAATTGTGGCTTCCCAGAACACCAACAAATTTTTAATCTTTAGCACAGAGATTAGGCCTCGACCCTTTTTAGAGTATATATGTGAAGACTGCAGGCTCAAAACAAGAATCGTCCCATAGACCTTAAGGACGAATTGAAAAAAAAATGCTAACAATCTATTAATATTAATATTATTATTAAGATCAGGGAATTTTCCCCTTTTCCATTTAGGGCTTTAAATAATTCTCCAGTCCCTCAGAAATACTTCCAGTAGAAAGATTCCTTTGCGTTTTTCAACTGAAAATCTCGTAGCTCTAAATTATATTAGCCATATTGTCTCTCTTTCTTTTCAAATATTTTCCGTATGAAATTTATCCAATCATATGAATTCATGCTGAGTTTCAATGATGTAATCGTTGCTTTTTTTTTAAACATCAATTGTTCTCTATTGTTCATACTGAGTTTTATGAGAGGAAATTCATGGACAGAAGGTGGGCTTGAGTTTATTCTTTATTAAATTCGATCTCTGAAGCGGCATGAGACCTACTAATGACGGATTTTGCAGTTTTGAGCATCGGTCAAATTGTATGGACGACACCATAGCTAGTATTGCACTAATCAAATTTCACGAGTTAGAGTGCAGCACTCCTTTACATGGTGTGTCTTTGGTGACACCAAGACTCAAACCTACGACTCAACATCGCAAGTCACGATTGCGAGACCGTGACCATTCGATTATTGTACCCACATAACATTGGAATATGCAGTCAACTCTCGATAATTCGAAGTTGAATGGACCAATGAAAAACTTCGAATTATCAAGAGGATAGGAAAAAATTCCCAAAATACACGAAGAGAAAATTTTTTAACACATTTAAATTTGAACTATGTAATAAAACAACAATTGTACATACGTATGAATTTATTTTAAAGTATTTTTAAAAAGTACATATTATACAGTATAAATATTGAACAGAAGTTAAAAATCCTGTATTAAAAGAACTCATTTAAGTATTAAAAACAACTATTAAAAGAATATGTACCGTGCATAATTAATCTTTTTTGATGAAAAAATCGGTTATCTTTTTTCTTACGGCATTCAATCTAACTTTGTCAATAGATTTTCTAGAAGAAATGATGCTTGAAAAACGTCCGCATCAACATTATTTTGAAGGGAAAAGTTGCGTAGCTTATTTAGTACACTTTGGCTTCTGCCAGAGTTATCGGAGTCAACTCCGATGGTCATCGAAAGGGCTACGTTACAGAGGAGACAAGCGGATACAATGCAACACAAAGCATGTAAGCTCCAGCCTGTTTGCAACAGGTCTCTACATGATAGTGACTGTTTAAATTGTCGAGGTTTTTATTAAATTACTTCGAATGATCACGTGTTGTATTCAGGCTGGCCACAGATTTTACTTCGAAATATTGAGTGTACTTAAAAACGTATTGTCTTAGTTCGAAATATCAAGAGTTTGTCTAGGGACTGAGCATATACTTCGAATTAGTGAGAGAGGTTCGTATTATCGAAGGTTTCAATTAGCGAGAGTAGACTGTATAAAATTAAAGAAATTGTTCATTGAAACTCTTTTTTTCTGATGGATAGTAGATAGTAATTTGAATTTAAATTTATTATAGAATGATAAAGCTTTTATAGTTGATTAAGAAATATACTAATAGTCGGCAGTTTAATGTGAGCAGCTGACTGGAACTATTAATTTCTATCATAAAAAAACCACCCTTAGAGCCAGGGGCATTTTAAAATTTTCTGAGACCCTGGGCCCCTTTCCAAAAGTAGTCCCTATCTGGGATTTTTAAAAATAGACAGTATTTTGTCAAACTCATACAAACGGTAGTCTTAGGTAAATAAATGTGCACATCTCATAATTTCACAAAGCTATGCATAGACCTACTCACCCGATGGCCGTATTTCGACTAAATGAGTTTGAATGATTCTTTTTGTTACTAGGCCTAGACACATGGACAACGGTCATCACATAATGCAGTTTTATAACAGTTACCAATAAATTTAAAATTCCCTGTTTTTCTGAAAAAATGTACGGAGATAATATTTGACCATTAAAATTATCCGGATTATGATCTGTTAAAGACTGAGTAGAGAACGAAACAAGGCCTCCACCGAGATTGAGGCTCAATTGATCCATGCCTCAAGACGTTATGCTTGGAGAATACATTTGCAGAAAAACAAA